GACACAAGCTGATGTGGAGCCTGAGTAAGCAAGCTCAGGAAATCCAAGCATTAAAAAAGTATATTACTCCCATCCAGAGAAAAACACATAACTTTTACAAGTTAAAAGCTTATAACAGTACTTATTAAAATGAATCAGAGAAGGGAAAAATGACAACTAACTGGCTGCCATTTTATCTTACCTATTTATAAGTGACAAAAATTGGAGGAAATATAAATTAGTGACTTTAAAATCATATCCAAACAGCACCTTGAGGCTGTTTTTCTTCAGTAAAATACCCTAAGAAACATTAATTCTGCTATTAATGAACATAAATGCTGCCAACATACTGAAAATTCAGGCTAAGTTAATAATGCCTGATGGGCCTTACTTCATGTTAAGATGATGTAATCATATGTCACTAAATGAGTCTCCTCATATTATCTTCACAGCAGTTGCATAACTGATGGGCCGTAGCAGCATTGCTGGAAACAATGATAGATCATTCTGGAATTGAATTACTTTTTTATTGATCCAACACAGAGCATAGAAGCCATCATCTTATTAACAATCGGTCCAATACTTTTTAAACTGACAGAGTTACATGAAAAATCCATTTATCATGACAAATTCACTTGTATTTATTCATTAATATTTCTTAAGTATTTATTCAAGTAGTTTGAGTTTTTCTCAAAATGTTCAAACCTGCAAGATCACAGGGACTTGTGCTTTGTATTTAGAAAGTTTGAAGTTTCATCTAAGTTCAAATAATATGCCTTCAGGAAAATGATAACTTTAAAAATGCAGTTACCTCTTAGTCTCTTGTAATTACACCCATGCCATTTGATTCTTTTTCACATTCTTTTTTTTTTTTTTTTTAATTCGGTCTCATTATGTATAGACAGTTATAATGGCTAAATAAGATTTGTACCAGAAATTAAAGTTTAGTTTAACACTTGAAAATCAATTTACTGAGTTCACTGTGTTGACAGATGCCAGAATAAAAAATAATATAATTTCCATAGAGAAAAAAGTACTTCACACAATTGAATATTCATGATAAAAATCTCAACAAATAGAAAGCAGCTTCCTCAATGTGATAAAGGACTTGCATGAAAAACTTCACAGCTGGCAACATACTTAATACTGAAAGGCTACTCTACTGCAAATGCTTTCCCCTGATAATTAAGACTAAGGTAAAAATTCCAGTCTCACATTTTTCACTTTATTTTCTGGCCAGTGTAAGAAAATGAGAAAAAAAAGGACATAAAAATTGAGTAAGCTAAGCTGAATTTGGAGCTGACATATTTATGTAAATAGGAAGTCCTAAGGAATCATCAAGAAAACTTCCAGAGCGAGTACTTTTAGCTATATCACAAGACTTTAACAATGAAAATTGAAACACTAGTGAGATAAGTCAAAGATCTAAAAACAGATATACCATGTTCGTGAATTTTAAGGCTATCATTTAAATCTTAGTTCTTCCTAAATTGGGTTACAGGTTTAATGTAGTCTCAGTCAGAATTGTGTTAGGCTTCTTAACAGATACTGACTAGATTACTTCAGGATTCATTTAAAAAGGCAAAAGACTAAGAACTCAAAATAACTTTGAAAAAGAAGAGAGGATGGCTTTATCTTACTTGACTTGATAATTTCCTGTAAGACAATGATAATCAAGACAAAGACAGTATGATATTTATATATAAAGATCGACAAACAGCTCAAGAGGCAGATCAGAATGTCCAGAGAGGGATCCACATTTGTTTTATAAGTACAGTGTAACAGTCTGGTGATAAAAGAGAAGTCTCTTTGGCATATGGTCCTGGAACAACTGTGTGTTGTGCAGAGGGAGGAACTTCATCCCTTACCTTATACCATATAAAACATAAGTTTGAAATAAATCATAAACTTCAAAAGCTAAAAT